ACTAATCGCAAAAATAATCGGTGACTAGTCGACTATCAAAATAATCGTTTGTGGCAGCCCTAGTATTAAGTTACTAAATTCATTAAGTAACTAAGCAGTAGGGTTGTTTTTGTCACAGACCATCAGGTTTCTTTTTGTTACATAAGTAGTCGCCCCCTGTCGTCCATTAGGAAGATTTCAGGTTCAAGTCACATCCATCTTTTACATACAGTCTATGGGCAGACCACAGTCACTTTAGTCTCTGCATCACTCACTAACTGCTGTCAGTGAGCGGTTTATAACCTTGTAGTTTATCTTAGTACATTTGTATCTAACAGATTTCTGTCAAAAGTTGCCAAATTTAAGCAAATTAGATGTTGCCCTTTCTGCTGACTTCTGCTTAAGTGTCTAAATAACAGACCTAAAGCGTTTTGTGTACTGATGAGCAACATAGAACCATATTTTAAAGAGCTAATTGATTCTTATCAGTTAGAGGATACCATAAGTAAACTTTTCTCAGACACGCATAGAGTCACATGGACAACCGCCGGAAATAAGTGCATGAAACCACAAAACGGCATGTGAACCCACAAGAGCAAGCAGGCCTGCAGAAAGAGCTGCAGTGCGATATATGTACGAATTTTCACATACAGTCAGTTTCAGAGGTGTAAAGAAATGGGAATTTACAGTTTCTTGTGGCTTTTCTGATAGCTCGCTGTTAACAGCTCCTCGTGTTCTTCTGTTTCCTCTGGTGACGAGCAGCTTCTGTAAAGACAAAGAGACTTGTGCTTACTTTCAATTCAGTCAGCAGCGGCTTTGGCGAAAATTGAAAATGACGTTTTGCATCATACAAGCCATTAGAAATATCTGTCTTTTTTTAAGAAAAGCAGTGAAATAAAAAGTAAACAAGGGAGAAAATGAATGCAAAGGACACGCGGGGTTCAGAAAAGGCTCGTGCTCGATCTATTAACCACAGAGAGCGCTAAAATATGACCATGCAGAGTTAAACGATTAAAGGCAGACTAAAAAAAAGGAAATGGTGACTACTGATGCTGAAGAGGCTAAAATATCTTGACCTCTAGTCCACAGAATAGCTCAAGAAAAAAAATATAGGTCTGCCTGCCTGCTAAAATTCAGTGTCTCCACTCTGTGCTCTGACTTCATTAAGATAATACTAAAATTTGAAGTCTTAATTTTAGCAAGATTAGAACATGCTCGTTAAGTTACCTGGTAGCTGATTAGCTTCACTTGATAAAATGACGAGCATATCAGAGGAAGAGCTAAGGTTCAGCTATCAGTTTTGTCTCTGGATTAATAATAATAATGGATTGGATTTATACAGCGCTTTTCAAGGCACCCAAAGCGCTTTACAATGCCACTAGTCATTCACTCTCGCATTCACACACTGGTGGAGGCAAGCTACGGTTGTAGCCACAGCTGCCCTGGGGCAGACTGACAGAAGCAGACTGACATATCATACCCTCTGGCCAACATCAGTAGGCGGTAGGGTAAAGTGTCTTGCCCAAGGACACAACGACCAGGACAGAGAGCCCGGGATCGAACCAGTGACCTTCCGGTCACAGATGCGCTTCCCAACCCCCTGAGCGACGGTCGCCCACATTAACCAGAGTGAACTCTGTCTGGACTCACTCCATGACAAAGAGACCATGGATTATGGTGTTCACAGGTGGCATTGTGATGTGCAGTGAGAGCAGGTGGAAGCGAGCCTGGAGTGGTGGAGGTATGCTCTGAGAGAGGGGGAATGAAAGCCAGCAGAAGCGACAAAATGTGTGTGAAAGGCGAACACATGCAAGCGAGGGGAAGAAGAGAGTGCAGCCAGGGTGGAGTGACTGAAAACAAATGTCAGAGGTGATTCGAAACAGAAGAATAGCATCTAGAGCGAAAAATAAGGTTTACATGATGGTTTTACATATGGTTTGAAGAAGCTCTGAGCTGAAAATATTACGATTTTCATTGTAAATGATCAGAATGGACCAAATTAGAAATGAATATATAAGCTCAAGATGAGCAGCTTGGAGACAAAGTTAGTCTACGTCCACATTAGCCTGGATAAATTTCAAAACGGCGTTTTCCACGTCCACACTATCGTTTTCAGAGAGTTGTGGGTCCACATTGAAATGACCGAAAACGGCCGCGTGTGCATGCGTGAAATGCGAGACGATTCGGCCTGCCTCATTTCTGTCTGCCATTTATTTACTTTCCGGCTTTACCGAGTTTTTTAAATGGACTAACAATGAGGAGGAGCTGTTGCTGCGAGTAACACAAAAGTACAAAGTTGCAAAAGCGAGTGAGAATTAAAGAATTTGAAGAAAAGCTATGTGGAGCATGTACAGACTGATATTAATCTTTAATCTCCGTCCGTTTAAGTCTCCGGGTTCGCTGTCCAAACTGTGACGCGAAAACAGCATTTTAAAATGTATCCGTTTTGGAGAGCGTTTTCAGAACGCCGTGTTTTCCTTGACCGAAAACGTCGTCTCAGTGTGGACGTCTCAAGTGAAAACGTATTAGTGTGGACATGGCCTCAGAGAGACAAAGCTAAGATGATTTGGATATGTGCAGAGGAGGCAGTGGATATATGTATATGTATATATATATATATATATATATACATATATATGTGTGTGTGTTGGACAAAGATGCTGTAGATGAAGATGCAAGGCAGGAGGAAAAGAGGAAGACCACAGAAAAGACAAATGGATGTGGTGAAAGACATCTAGAAAGTTAGCATGACAGAGGAGGATGTTAGGAGTTCAATGATCAGACAATGATCTGCTGTGGCGGCCCAGCAATGGAGCAGCCGAAAGAAGAATAAGAAGAATAGACTGATAAATGCTGCCTGACACAAATAATTAGGTTTTCCAGCAGTGTAATGTTGCTCCTGAAAACAGTGTTGTTGAACATGATCCAGCTTTTGCATTCATTATGTAATTGTGCTTCTTACTCAAGACAGTGGTGCAGTTAAAATCAGGAGAAATAATATGAAATACCCACCTGTAACGTGAATTTGGGTTCTGGCTGCAGGTCCAGCTCTCAGGAGCAATTCTGTAAAAGCCGTCAGGAATGCTTCGCCACTTGAGACACTCTTCACACTGTAACCACATGGGACCCCTGTAAATACAACAGCTGTCAGTAAGATAAAGTTGGCAATAAAGATATACTTAACTATTTTTATCTCAGTAAGTCTAGACTTGTGCACACAACAGATCTCTTCAAGATCTATCTATCTATCTATCTATCTATCTATCTA